AACTAGATTCCTCTCTAGGGTCTTCAAATTCTTATTTTTTAGTATTTTTTTGGCTTTTACAATTATCAGCAAGAGGACCAGTTCAATGAGAACTGCTTTGCTGTACCCAGAATACAAACTTTTGGGCACTTGCATTTTAAAAGAGCAAGTTATTGAAAATTCCAGTATTTAATATAGGCACATTTAAAATATTGTCCAAGAGAAATTGAGTCTTAGTTCATGTTGGGAGCTTGAGGTGATGTTTTCGTGTTACTATTTCTCATGTCTATTATCAGATTCATCAAGGAGGACCAATATACTATGGCTTAATGTAAATCACTGAATATGTGAAGTTAGTAGTCAAGAAAATTGGGGCAGGACGTAGTGGTTCACGCCTGTAATCCCAGCACTTTGGGAGGCTGAGGCGGGCGGATCACGAGGTCAGGAGATCGAGACCGTCCTGGCTAACATGGTGAAACCCCGTCTCTACTAAAAATACAGAAATTAGCCTGGTGTGGTGGCACGCACCTGTAATCCCTGCTACTCAGGAGAGTGAGGGAGGAGAATCGCTTGAACCTGGGAGGCGATGGATTCAGTGAGCCGAGATCGTGCCACTGCACTCCAGCCTGGGCAACAGAGCGAGACTCCATCTTAAAAAAAAGGCAAGAAAAAAAAAGCAAGGAAAATGGGGTTCATAGTTGTACAGACTGAAATCTGTGCAAACCACTACTCCTGTTTTTATGAGATACCAGTATTCTGCAAAGATAGTAATTTTGGTATAAATGTCGATAGATGCATGTTAATATATACTCATTGGCCGGGCACGGTGGCTCAAGCCTGTAATTCCAGCACTTTGGGAGGCCGAGACGGGCGGATCACGAGGTCAGGAGATCGAGACCATCCTGGCTAACACGGTGAAACCCCGTCTCTACTAAAAAATACAAAAAACTAGCCGGGCGAGGTGGTGGGCGCCTGTAGTCCCAGCTACTCGGGAGGCTGAAGCAGGAGAATGGCGTGAACCCGGGAGGCGGAGCTTGCAGTGAGCCGAGATCAGGCCACTGCACTCCAGCCTGGGCGGCAGAGCAAGGCTCTGTCTCAAAAAAAAAAAAAAAAAAAAAAAAAAAAAAAAAAAAATATATATATATATATATATATATATATATATATATACACACACACACATACACACACACACACATATCAATCTATAGGTATCTTAGTGAAGGAACAAATACTCATTTAAGCTAAGAAGATATATTAGATGCTCCAAAGACATTTTATCTGTGGTTAAAAATCACAACCATTCCTTTTCTTTTAAATTTTATTTGTATTGTAGATTTTTGTACTGAGGATTAATTTACAGAGTTCATTCTACTTTGGAGACTATTTTTAATTTGCATATAACAACATATTCATTAAGGCTTCTTATATACTTTAAAAAAAATGTTCAGCAGTTGTATTTTTTTGATTTGCTGGTCTGTTGCATGGCTCTATGGTGGAAGTAAAGAAATGTAATGCTTTAAGGAACATATAAATTGGGGGTAGTCAGGTGTCTTTTTTATTAAATAAGGACTGATAATATCAGGCAGTTTTTGATGAATACTTATTGAATGATGTAGAAAATGGGTGTTTTAAGAGTGCAGGAAAGGGTATGGCCAACTACAGTGGCCTGGGAAGGGCTCATTGAAGAAAAAACATTGGAATTGTTCTTGGAAGGGTTTGTTGGTATTTATTTAGGAGAGAAGGTAATCTAGATTAGGCCTTTTAGAAATGAGAATGCCCACATATATTAAGGGAAGAGTTAAGTAATTTTGATTGCAGTGTTGGGTTCACATTTGAGAGAATAAGATACACTTGGAAATATGTATTGAAGTCAGAATATTGTAGACGATGAAAGGAGTAGCCTTCTGATGATAGCAGCAGTGTTTTAGGACTGTCTGTTGATAGTATGTGAGGAGGACTGGAAGGGTAAGAGATGAGAGACAGAAAATTCAGTGAATACTAATTGAACTAAGTTGGTGGCTGTCAAAATGGACAGAAATGGGCAAACTAGGAGAGAGTTGAGGAACAGTCATTAATGATCTTGAGGACTAATTCCTTTATGGGCACAAAGGGTATGGAAATGTATCAAAAGATGGTCCTGAAGTTTTAAACCTGAAAAGTAGTGAAAATAAGAAACTACCAACAAAAAGAAGACAGAAGGAATTAATGCTTTTGTGGGAAGATGATTTAGGTTTCAGAGAAGTTGATTTTATTAGTGAAATATGTGAATATATATCAAGCATGCAGTCACAGATGTGGGACTAGAGCTCAGGAGAGAAATGAGGAATAAATCACATTGTGATAAAGGAAACAGTAGATGTAAAGGCTACTTTTTAAAGTTTGGAACCCAAAGACAAAAGGAAAATAAGATTATAGATATAGCATGAGGACCAATGCAAGATTTTTTTGAGAAAGTAGGATAAGTATGTGTTTGCAGATTGAAAGCAGAAGTGGGTGGATAGGAATAGACTAACAATGCTGAGTGGTAACAATTAAAGGGACTTTACTGATGATGAGAAAAAGCAAAATGATCTTAAAATACCTGTGTTTTGAGGTCAGTATTTTATTACACAAGGCCTTAATTATTGGATTCTAGGACAGCAAGTCCTCAAAAGAGTTACTTGGATTAATGCATTTTCACGCTTTAGTAGAAACATCGCTCTGTCATGTTGGTGTTAACCATCTGAAATATGAGTGAAACAATGCATTTCTATACATCTTTTTGTGTTATTTTAATTTGAAATTCTTTTCTGGTTTACTGGTCTTTTTGATCACAGATTGCTGAAAATCTTATTAGTAGCAGTGACAAATATACAATATAATTTAGTCCCTGAGTTGAGTTGTTCCTAGAGACCCAACTCAATATTCTCCCTGATCATTGGATAGTTTGGGTGATGTATTAACAGAGATAGTATTTATCATTATATTATTTCATTCACATACTGAATAATACTCTAGTGGCTTCATAAATAAATAAAAAATATTTACCAGTCTATTGACATGTTTTATACTTTCCAGGTGCAATCCTTATTGGATTGAAATAAGAAAATGAAATAAAGTCCATTTACTGCCACCTATAGACCTGTGTGCTCTTGTGTTGGGTGCATATATATTTACTATTGTTATATTCTCTTGCAGAATTGATCCCTTAATTAATGTCCTTTTTTTTTAAATCTTTTTTACAGTTTTTGACTTAAAGTCTATTTTGTCTGGTATTGGTATAGCAAATCCTACTCTGTTGTGTTTTCCATTTGTATGGAATAACTTTTTCCATATCTTTACTTTTAGTCCATGTGTCTTTATAGGCAAAGTGAGTTTCTTGCATGCACCACATTACTGGGTCTTATTTATGTATTTATTTATTTGTTATTTATTAGACAGAGTCTCACTCTGTTGCCGAGGCTGGAGTGCAGTGGCGTGATCTCGGCTCACTGCAAGCTCTGCCTCCCGGGTTCATGCCATCCTCCTGCCTCAGCCTCCCTAGTAGCTGGGAGTACAGGCGCCCACTACCACGCCCAGCTAATTTTTTGTATTTTTAGTAGAGACAGGGTTTCACCATGTTAGCCAGGATGCTCTTGATCTCGTGATCTGCCCTCCTCTGCCTCCCAAAGTCCCAAAGTGCTGGGATTACAGGTGTGAGCCACCACACCCAGCCTGGGTCTTGTTTTTTAATTCATTCAGCTACTGTGTATCTAATCAGGGAATTTAGTTCGTTTACATTGTGTTATTATTGATAGGTAAGGACTTACTGCTGATATTTTGTTACTTGTTTTCTAGTCATTTTGTAACTCTTCCTTCTTATTGTCTTTGTGGTTACATGATCTCTCTGGTAGCATGTTTCAATTTGCTGCCTTTTGTTTTTAGTGTATTTGTTATGGGTTTTTGCTTTGTGATAATTCTTAGATTTTAAATTGGATTGATTTTATAAGTAGAACCTGTTGGCAGTAGTCAATTTTTTAATTTTTTAATTTTTTTGAGACGGAGTCTCACTCTGTCACCCAGGCTGGAGTGCAGTGGCGTGATCTCAGCCCATTGCAACCTCTGCTTCAAGTGATTCTTGTGCTTCAGCCTCCCAAGTAGCTGGGACTACACTTGTGCACCATCATACCCAGTCAATTTTTTTTTTTTTTTAAGTAGAGATAAGGTTTCACTATGTTGGTCAGGCTGGTCTTGAACTTCTGGCCTCAAGTGATACTCCTACCTCAGCCTCCCAAAGTGCTGGGATTACAGGCATGAGCCACTTTGCCTACCTAGTAGTCGATTTTTTAAAAGGCAATTGCTTTTCTTCTGTTGAAGCTCTCAAATGAGTAGTGGCTATGGAAATTCTTTGTAGGTCAGGACTTCTTAGCTTCCTGTGGCCTTTCTGTATCTCTTATTGGCAGGTTTGTTGTAGTGTTTATCCACTATGTGTAATAGTGAGTGGTAAGAGCATGGACTTCCTAGTCCACTAGGGATCACTTTACAGCTCTTGAACCTCTGTAAGCTCCATTTCTTTGTTTATAATCTGTGAATTTATCTGATAAAATTCCGTGCTTTAAAAGAGATAATACATTTTACATGGATTAACATGTTGCCTGCATCATAGTAAGCCCTGAGTAAATGTTATGGCATTGCTGCTAATGCTGCTGTAGTTCAGAATAGTGAGGATTAAATTGTGATTAAAGAGGAATGTTGATTCACTCACTCAGCACAATATCTAGCACATAGTAGATACTCAATAAAAACGTTCCTTTTACTCCCATGTTCAGATGCCCACCACACCTCTTCCCTATATGAATAGGTAACAAGTAAATGACTTACCAGCTATAATGAATCTTTTCTTAGATCCCCAACTAGGAAAATTAATGACCAGGTTAATATATTCCTGAATGTCAAGCATGAGGTTTTAGAATTACATTTGCATGGTTTTAAAATAGTTTTTCTTAATAGCACATTAAAAATGTGTATATTAACATTAACTTGTTTATCTGGTTGCACAGATGCTGTTAACTGAGTACTTGGATATGAAAAATACTCGTACGGCTTCTGAACCATCAGCTCAACTAAGCTATGCCAGCACTGGACGAGAGTTTGCAGCCTTTTTTGCCAAGAAGAAACCTCAAAGGCCAAAAAATTCTCTTTTCAAGTAAGTATTATTCTGCTGTTAAGATAATAGGTTTTAAGAATTCTTAGACTGAAGTAAGATGACTTCCTACTTTATTGATAGCCATAACTTTCTCTAGCTTAAGTTGATTGAAGTAATTTAGAGGAAGTGAATATATGTTGAGTTTTATTTATTTTTGTTTTCTGTCAGGTGAAGTGGCTGTTTTGGGTATGGTGACTGGACTACCTGGAACTCCTAATAAAAATTTCTGGAACTTGTTTCAGGGAAGTTTTATTTAAAATTAAGAGAAATGAAACTCCCCAATTGTTTCTGGGGAATTTTATATGAAATGAAAGGAAATGAAATATGTCAGCCTTGAAAAAGCCCCAAGAGCCAAGAAACAACCTTTGTTAATAAAGTTATGCAAATGTTTCTAGCTAAGCAGTATTGGGCCTTATGTGGTTACTTGTTTAATAAAAGAACAATCTAGGTTTTTTTTTTTTTCCTAATTATTACTTTCATTAACTCCAACAAGCCATGTGCCCAAAGTGTGTATCTCTTGGCAACAGCTAATAGTTAATAATATTGATAATAACTTCAATAATAACAGCTACCATTGATTGTTTCCTAGGTATCAGGCAGTATACTGGGTGAGTTTCCCAAAATAATCTCAATTAAACATACTTTAAATTGGATTATACTAAATTTCAGCAGCAGCAGTAGTAGCTAACGTTTATTGAGTTCTTACTAAGTGCTAATCAAGGCATTACATTATTTTCATAGATTATTTTATTTACTAATTACAACAACCTTATAGGCAAGGGTTGTATACTTTGTATACATAAAAAAAATTGAGACATGAATGGTTAAGGAATTTATATAAGGTCGCATAGCTAACATGTGGTAGAAGGAGGATTTAAATCCTGGCAGTCTTACTTTAGATCTATTTCTTTTGAGGGTTTAGTAGATATTTAAGAAGTTGTGTCTGTAAATATAAGCATGTAAAGTGACCACCACAGAAGTATCCCAGTATATTGAATTTGTTCTTTTTCACTAGTTGGAGCTCTAATACCTTCTATTGATTCACATTTGAGGCTTGTTTTTGTCTTAGATTTGTAGTGTTTTTAATAATTAAAGAAAGCTTCAACAGTTTATTTATTTTGTGATCTAGCAGAGAGATTTATTTAGTATGTCCCTGCCAGAAATGAAATCTATTCCGTTTATTGAATATATTCCTTTTTAAATAGTTTTATTCAGAGAGTAGCTGCAATATCAGTTAAAATGCTTTAGGCTGCAAGTAACATAAAACCTTAAGTACAACAGGTTGAACTATAGGAAAGTTACCATCTCACATAACAGGGATGAATGTGGATGTTTCCTTAATTCAACTGTACAGTATCGTAAAGGACTCAGCCCTTTCCATCTCTCTGTATTGCCATTCTCAACACATTAGTAATGTTTTCTATTGTGATCACGAGGTGTGTCCAGTCCACTAAAGACAGTGTGGGCAAGAAAATAGCATGTGATTCTCCCTGTGAATCTGTCTCTTTAAAAAAACATATAGACTTTATTTTTAGAACAGTTTTAGCTTTATAGAAAAGTAGAGCAGGAAACACAGAGAGTTCCTTTATATTTCCCCGTTCTCGTTTTACCCTATTAACATCTGGTATTAGCGTGGTCTGTTTGTTAGAATTGATGAACCAGTATTGACATGTCATTATTAACTAAATTCCATAGTTTACATTAGGGTTTACTCTTTGCGTTGCACAGTTCCAATGGGTCTTCACAAAGGCATAAGGTCATGTATCCACCATTACAGTGTCATGCAGAACAGTTTCACTGCCCTAAACATCTTCCATTCACCACATATTCATCCCTCCACCCTCCCTAACCCCTGGCAACCTCTGATCTTTTGACTATCTCCACAGGTTTTGCTTCTTCCAGAATGTCGTATAGTCAGAATCAGTGTTTAGCCTTTTCAGAATGGCTTCTTTCACTTAGCAGGATGCATTTAAATTTCTTCCACATCTTTTTGTGGCTTGATAGGTGTCTCTTTGTGTTGCTGAGTAACATTCGTTTGTGTGGATATGCCATAGCTTGCTTATTTACCTATGGAAGGACATTTTGGTTGCTTCCAACTTCTGGCAATCATGAATAAAGCTGCTCTAAACACTCATGTGCAGGTTTTGGTGTGACATAACTTTTCAACTCATTTTTGTAAATACCTGGGAGCAACATTGCTGGATCATTTGGTAATACTATGTTTAGCTTCATAAGACACTGTCAAACTGTCTTCTAAAGTGGCTGTACCATTTTAAATATTTTTAAATTAGTACTTATTAATTATCAATTTATTAGTCATTTCTGCTAGTGACAAAACTCTTTGGTAAGTTCCTATTAAGCTCTAGGATTGGGTCATAAGCCCATTACTAAATTAGTCACTGGCAAGGGGAAGCAGATCTCAGTGGTTGTCTTAAACTAGTCAGGTTCCTCTCTGGTGCTAGGTTTCCAGCTGGAGAGGAAGCCACTTTTTCTGAGCACATGACTGAGTAAAGAGCAAGGAAGTAGAATGCCCAGATGGAATCAGAGCTATACCAGCAAGCACAAAGATAGTAGAAGGAAAAGGTAGTTGGTAGAGGCAACTGACACTGTCTCAAATGCGCTTCACCAGGCTCTTTTCTTGTCTTGTCTTTTCTTTTCTTTTCTCTTCTTTTCTCTTCTCTTCTTTTCTCTTCTTCTCTCCTCTCCTCTCCTCTTCTCTTTTTTCTTTTCTCTATTTCTAGCTCAATTGAACCTTCTAAATATGGAATCATTGCAGAAAGCAGGCTTTAGGGTTTTTAGAGTTCATGCTCTCAACCATCACTCTGACTTTCAGCCTCAGTCAGACGGCATACACATTTTCAAACATTTAGCCAGTGCTTCTGAAGTTGTGGTATTGGAAAAAAAAATAGAAATTGTTGGAAATGAACAAATTGTCTTAAATAATTATTACACATTTATTATTATTGGGCAGTAATGAAACTTATCACAGAGACACAGAATTAGGCCATTATTACAGATGTACCTGTTTCCAGTCTTGGTTCTATCATTGAGCCCATGTGAGTCTGGGCAGGTCTCAGTGCCTCTGGCTATAAAATAAGGAGGTGAGACTCAATCTCTAGTGCCTCTTTTACTGCAAAATTATATCAATCTGTGACTTGTCGCAGACATAAAAAGAATTCCTGAGTAGCAAAAATACATCAAGTCATAAAGGATTAAGATTTTGGCGAGCTGTAATCTGTTTTTATCACATATGTGAAGGACTTTATTACCCTCTTTAATTGCCCTTAGCTAAGGTTAATTAAGTTTGTTTAAGTCCTGCCTTATTGTGCTATGTGTGCCTCTCTATTCTTTGCTTAAGAGTTTATTTTTTTTTCTTTGTCATATCTGATCAATAGCTGTCAGCATGCTTTTTGGAGGTCAGTGGCTTCTTTTCTGCCCTTGACTGGCAGGTGGCATGTTTGAAGTACTGCACACTTTGCCTGCTTTCCGGCTGTTAGTACCCTCTTAGTTCTTGGCAGGGTGCAGAGAGGGGATCAAGTAACCCAAGTGTTTCCCTCACAGACTGACATTCATCTTGGTATTCATCTTCCTTGTCAAGGAAAGGATAAAGAAGACATAATTGAGAAAATGATGGTGTGCCTGCCTTGTTGCCAGAAACCTATCCCATTAGCACTGTTGCTTGTACTATGTTGCTGCTTACCCCTTAGTAGCAGTCATTCATAGAAGGATTCCTCCGTCTGGCAGGTTGTTATCCTGCCTTTGAAATCTCAGTTTGAAATGGAATCTCTTAGCACATCAAAGGATTTACTGTTTGATATGTCATAATTTTATCTGTTTTTTTCTTACTTGCACGTTTCTCTTAAGACTGATTTGTTTTTGTTATTTCTTTTTATAGTTATTATTTTAGGTTTTAGAAACCTGTTCTTTGTCATGAGTCTCTCGTTCTCCTTCCTTCACCAGTGTTTCTAACCTCTGAAATAGTTCCTGGGTAGGTGTGAACAATATTGCGTAGCTTGGTATTTTTGAGAGTATTTTATATGGTAGGCAGCAGGTCAAAAAACTAGCAGCCATTTAGAGAAGAAACTGTTTTTTCGGCCATTTAGGGAGAGACTATAGCTGCCTTGCTTTTCTGGTGCCATTTTTCAGCCAGATTTCTAGTATGTCCTTTGTCTAGTCCTCTACCTATGGGAGTTAGGCGCGAGTTCTGCTCTGAGGAGCCAGTGTGTCTGTGTTGGCAGATGGCAGTCACTGGTGACTTTTGAGCTGGATGGTAACGTAATTAGAATGACTTCATAGGATGCTCTCATTGCTGTATGTATAAGGATCCTGGCAAAGGCAGATGGGGGTCTGAAAGCAAAAGGAAGTTGGGGCAGATCAGAGTTGTACCAGTTGAAATGGAGAATTAGCAAAAGATCCAAATACGGTTGTAATGGAGCCTTAGCCAGGAATATCATTCATAAATCAAGGTCTGTGGCAGCTGGCCCTGGCCCTGTCATGGTATAGCCAAAGTGTCTTCATCACAGAACGTCGGGGAGCACCACACAGACCAGAGTAGAATACTTGTGGAATACAGAGCTGGTCAGCCCTTACTCATTTTATACTTGCTTGTCTGTTTCCCCTATGTTTCTCTGCAGGTTCGAATCGTCCTCCCATGCCATCAGTATGAGCGCCTATCTGCGAGAACAGAGAAGGGAACTCTATAGTCGGAGTGGAGAACTGCAAGGTGGGTGATTGATTTTTCTCTGGAAAAATTAATTTTCTGGAGGAATATCTCCTTTATTGCGTGTGAGTTTGTTTCCTGAATTCACAAGATCCTTTCAAGATAACAAACATTTAATGACTTAATAATTTGTTTCGTCTATAATTTCCCAGCATCTGCTGCCAAGCAGGTAAAACATTACTGTGGCCATAGGACTCATAAACCTGCGACTGTTCAAGTGGGAATTCAAAGCAAAGAGAGATGAGGCCAGGCTTGTCTTGCTTAAACAGAAGACCCGAGTCCAGTCAGAGTCTAGGAGAATGCTGGTCTTCTGCGACTGCCACTGTTACTTCTAATTGCTGTTTTTGACACCTTCTAGAATATTACAGGAGTACCTGAGATTTGGGAAAGGGAAAACGCAACCACTGTCATTATTGAAAGGGAAAAAGATTCCTCTAAATAGTATGTTATAATCGACATAACTGTGATACACAGGATCTTTGATACCCATGTGTGGTTACCAAAGAGTTGTAAGCTGAGGAAGAAAATATTTAGAAAATAAATGCAATATAAATAAATATATTAGACTGATAACATTTCCTTCTGTGACAAAAAGATGCTGATCATAGTAAACGTAATGAGTTACGAAAGATTTAGAGGTCAGGTGTGGTGACTAACACCTGTAATCCCAGCACTTTGGGAGACTGAGGTGGGCAGATCACTTGAGTCCAGGAGTTCAAGACCAGCCTGGATGACATGGTGAAGCCCTGTTTCTATAAAAAGATACAAAAATTAGTTGGGCATGGTGGCATGTGCGTATTCCCAGCTACTCAGCAGGCTGAGGTGAGATTGCTTGAGCCTGAGAGGCAGAGGTTGCAGTGAGCTGAGATCATGCCACGGCACTTCAACCTGGGTGACAAAATGAGACCACGGTTCAAAAAAAAAAAAAAAATTTGGTGAGGGCCTGCTAAGTGTAAGACATCTTAGGTGTTGGAAGTAATAGAAGTTGGGTACAAAGAAATATAAAGCCTAAAGATCTAGTTATGAAAGTAAAGTATACATATGTGTGTGTGCATAAATACATACACACACACGTCAATAACAATATCAGGAAGTAAATACTAACAACTGAGTGTGTGGTATGGATAAATTGCTAGAGAAATTACAAGAAAGGAGTGATTACACAAATTATTTTATAACTCTGGGCTTTTCTCCTTGAGGGATGGGAACAAATACTTTTACTGTCTTTGATACATTAGCATTTTGCAGTGACTGGCCTGTGTAATTAAATATTTAGTTTTTATGACTCATTATTCTATACCACAAGACTATGAAGTAACCACTGAACCTTTCTTGATTTAAAGACTATTGCCTTGTCATTCCTAACTTCACCTTTGTTATTAATAGAATAACCTCTAAGTTTTTTCAGAGATGCTGCTGTACTCTCTCATAGTTACATCACAGTGATAGTTCTACAGCCCATATATGTGGTCACCAGAAGTACAAGCCTAGAGGTATGTTTAGGGTATTAGGAAGAGGAGATTAGCCTACCAACATTTTATTTAATATGAAAGGGTTGTCATGCATTCTGGAAGACGTGCAGCGTGCATGTCGAGAGTCTTGATGAAGAGGAGTACAGACAGTCATTAGACCTGGAACAAGTGAAAGGACAGAAAGGAGTGAAGGAGAGGGTGACCCATGCTCTGGCAGGCTGCTGCCTCCCAGGAGAAGAGGCTAGGCTGCCGACAGTGAAAGGAAATGATGATAACAGAACATACATTCTTGCAGGAGGTAGGATTGTGCTTGAACTGCCCTTAGCAGCTTATCTAAGGTTAGTGTATCTTCACATTCACGGTGTCCTAATTTTAATTTCTCTTCAGAGTTGCCTTAAGGAACAGTTTACATTTGCCTCCATATTTTCTCTCCACCTGTCTTCTAATACACATACATTTATTTGATGGTGACAAAGCGTCTCCTTTCTTCTTTTTTAGGTTGAGTCCTGATTATTTTCTTTCTTAAAAATTGATAAACATTATCTGTTAGAGCAGTTATAAGGTCCCAGCTAAATTGAGTGGAAAGTAGAGTTCTGTGTGTTCTTGTCCCCACACATGCCCACCTTCTTCCAGTGTCGACATCCGGCAGCACAGTGCAGCCTTCCATTTGACCCTTCCAGATGAACAGGCAGAACATGTCCCTGTGGTTACATAGGGACCAAGGACCTCTCATCGCTCACTCACACTCAAGCATAATTAGTCAACAAGGGCACAACACTGGTGGCAGATTCTTTCTGCTTGTGTGAGTGAGAATGGAGAGCACTCTGTGCGGCAGCCATGGGAAGGCTTTTCAGCCCCGCCCCAGTGGTCCACGCTCTCTTGAGAGACAGTGTAGGGTGGCAGTGCAGAGTAGGTGGCTCTGGGCCCAGGTCGCTTCCGTTTAGGAACCTGGCTCCCCAGCACTCTCTTTGTAACCTCCGGCAAGTTCCATGGTCTCTGTGCCTCTTTTTCCTTTTCTCTAAATGGGAATAAAAGTAACACTCCCAACTTCATGAGGTGGTCATGAAAATTAGGTGAGTTAAGCTAGGAAGTGTTTCAAAAGGTGTCTGACATACACTGGATGCTATGCCTTTCTTCTTCTCCTCTATTTCTAGTACTGTGGTGTGACTTCAGAGTTTTCACACACATTCTGTTTGTCCTTTCTGTCATCTGTATACGGCTAAGCCCTCCTGAGCTTTCCAAGTTAAATTTAGGTGTCACTCATTCAGATGGGCTTCCCTGCTTGTCCCTCCTCTCTCAGCCTGTCACAAATACACACACATTCTGGGGTTGTGGCCCCTGCTGTGTGTTACTGCCACATCTTTAATGATGTTCTGCTGAGTACTTTCCATACTGCATTGTGGAACAATGCTCTCTTGTTTGAGTTTGCCACAAAACTATAAGCTCCAAGGGTAAAATACTATTTTATTTCTTGTGCTTTGCACAGCACCTGGTACAAGAAATGTTTGATAAATACTGGTTGACTTAGTGACAGAATGAATGAGGACAGTTAGGATCTAAAATAGGATAGAGAGCACCATGGAGAGGCAGGAAGGGCCTGAAAGGAGCCACTTTCAGCTTTATAGTTTTCCATTAGTCTTTAAGTTGAAGGCAAAGTAGAGGGTATACATCTATGGTTTTGTCCTTTGCAGTTATAAGCTTTATTAAGTAGAAATATTGCCCTTGAGCTCTCTGGCCCAGGACAAAACTACTGTATGTAATTGAAAAACATTTTAAAATCTAAGTGACAGAGAAATTTTACTCTGTGAGGATGGTTAATGGAGAAATCACTATAATCTAACTAGGAATTTTCCCATCCTTCAAAAAATTAATTGAAATATGGGCTTTCAAGCACAAATCAATTGAACTTACCAGTTTTCAGCAAGGAATATTTCTGGTTACAATAGAAAAAAAGTAATAGTTAGCAAGCACATTATGTTCCTAATAACCATTAAAAATACTTTAGGTGAACTGACATATTACACACTTGGTGAGAGAATGAATCAGTGGACCAGTTTTTGTAAAAGTCTGATGATGATTCATTCAGGAGGGAAAGTTTCTCTGATGAATGCTTTTAACATTTCAACAGGAAAAAAAGAGAAGAAAATCATACCTGTCTTCCATTAAAAACTACTGTCCTTTTTCAATTATTCCATTAATCTGACTGGTCCAAGGACCACAATGAGATTTGCATTTCAACTTATCCCTGAAAAGGCATCATAATTGAATAATTCAGTGAAACCATAAGAGACTAGGGTAAGATTTTTGTTTCTTCTGTTAACACCATATAGCGGCAGGTTTGCTTCCCAGTAGTTTCGGTTCATAGGTCAACTGTTCCTTCCATCGCAGGGGAGCGGCAAAGAAATCCACCAGAAAGACAAAGTAACATTAAAAAGCTCAAATTTTACAAAAGTTAAGTTCCTGCCAACATTTTCAATTTATCATACAATTAGAAATGTTACTCAGTCTAACAACACCCAAGGGGATAAAAGGATTAAAAAAATGAGATTTCTTTGGTGTTATCAACCCATCTCAATAGGCTCTAACTGTTATGGTACAGATGGTTCATTATATAGTCTGCTGTTGGCAGTTGGGCTGCAGAGATGCGGGTGCTGCTTCAAAATGTGTGAGATACCAGGTGGAAATCTAACTTGTGGATGTGTCAGTGTTAATCATGGGCTTCCTGTGGTTTTAGCCTCTGCTGTTTCATTGTACTTAGACAGCAGTGTTGGGAGTGAAGAAAGATACAAGTTTTAATGAACATTTAATTTGAATATAGCTTCTCAGGTTTAATGTATAATTCTTCAGGGGAATAGCTAATTGATGAACACATTATCTGGTGAGGGTTAAACACAAAAAACAAAAAACAATCTAAAGACTGCCAGTCATGACCAAAATAAGGTCACGGGTTTATCAGTGACATTCTGCCTCAGATTTCTCATAGGAAAAAATTAGAACTGTTATCAGTCCTGACTACTTTAGGGGAATGTTGTGACTATTAACTTAAATATTAAATTATTAATATTAAAAATTTCTACATTAGAAACATTAGATTAGCAATGTTGATTTAAATGATAAAGTGGTGTTTTAAAAAATCATCTTGGGCCAGACACAGTGTCTTATACCTGTAATCCCAGCACTTTGGGAGGCCCAGGTGGGCAGATCACTTGAGGTCAGGAGTTCGAGACCAGCATGGCCAAAATGGTGAAACCCTGTCTCTACTAAAAATAAGAAAATTAGCCTGGTGAGGTGTCAGATGCCTGTAACCCCAGCTACTTGGGAGGCTGAGGCAGGAGAATTGCCTGAACCTGGAAAGTGGAGGTTGCAGTGAGCTGAGATCATACCACTGCACTCCAACCTGGGTGACAGAGTGAGACTCCATCTCACAATAAGTAATTAAATAAATAAGTCAGTAAATAAATAAATAAAAATTAAAAAATTATCATCATGGAGTTAAGAGTGCTCCATCTACTTCTTTACTTCCCATTTTCT